CAGGTGGTTGTTTAAGGCTATACCAGGGATGGACGGTGAGCCGAGCAGATACAAGGCACGTCTGGTAGCAAGAGGTTTTACACAGAAGGAGGGTATTGAATGTCAAGAGGTTTTTTCCTCTGTGGTAAAACATGTTTCCATTAGGGTGTTATTGTCCTTAGTGGTGAATTTAGACCTGGAATTGGAGCAAATAGACTTGAAGACGATATTTCTTCAAGGGAACTTAGAAGAAGATCTATATATGTATTAACCTGAGGGTTATGTGGATCCTAAGAACAAATACAAAGTACATTTTCTCAAGAATTCTCTCTACGTGCTGAAGCATTCTCCAAATCAGTGGAATAATAGATTTGATCAGGTCATGTTAGCTAAATATTTCAGCAGGAGTGAGTGTAACACATGTGTTTACATGAAAGAAGTATCACATGGAAATTATATATATATATATATATGTGTATCTGTTGTTATATGTGAGTGATATTTTGTTGGCTGTATAAGATATGCCAGAGATAAAGAAGCTGAAATAGCATCTAAGTTCAACATTTGAGATGAAGGACTTAGGCGCTGCAAGAAGAATTCTTAGGATGGATATTTTCAGAGATAGAAGCAAAGGTAACTTAAAATTATCTCAGTCAAAATATCTGGATATGGTTATTGAGAACTTTGGTATGAGTGGAGCAAAGATTTTTCTAATCCTGATTGGTGCACACTTCAAGCTATCTGCAGTTAGAGATGAAGAGGAGTGCATCGACACTGTAGGTAACTCTTTATGCCTCAGCTGTAGGTAGTATAATGTATGCTATGGTAGGTTTTAGACCAGACTTAGCATATGTTATTAGCTTAGTGAGTAGGTGCATGAGTAAGCTAGGAAGAATTCACTGGGAAGCTATAAAGTGGTTATTGATGTACATTAAAGATTCAGTGAGTGTACAGTTAGTGTATCAAAGAGAAAAAAATTTACATATCTAGGGATTCTGTGATTCCGATTATGCTGCTGATTTGGATAGGAGAATGTCAATTTTAAGGTATGTATTTACACTGGGAGGAAATGTTGTGGCTGGAGATCATGCTTACAACTAGTCGTGGCATTATCAATTACAGAAGCCGTGTATATTGCATCAACAGAAGCTGTTAAGAAAAGCAATTTCGCTGAAAGGGATATTTGAGAAATTTGGTTTCAAGCATGGAGCAGTTAAGGTTTAGTGTGACTCGCAGAATGCAATATGCCAGCCAAAGAATAGCGTATACTATGAGCGTACAAAGAAAATTGTTGTGAAGTTCTATTTCATCAGGGACATCAATGAAGAGGAGACATAAAGGTACTTAAAGTGCATACAAGCCAGAATCCTGCAGAAATATATTAATTAATTCATAGTTAACATATATGTAATACCTTATATATAAAAGGTCAGATGCCCGAGTTTGTTAGCTAGATCATCTTCCTCATTATCTCAAACAGATTGTGTGCGTTTTCTTGTGAACTTCTCTGATTTGGAGAACTCAATTCCTTCGTGCTAGTAAATTTTCTAGACTGAGTCTGGTCCTAGAGACGTAGATCACCTTATCGGTAGTGAACTCTAAGTTACCAAAAATCGTGTGTTTTTTTGGTTAAGTATTTTACAATTTATTTCGATAACTTTAAAATTGTGAACGAAACAGAGGTTGAGATCGAAGCTGAGAGCTAAAAGTTTAGGCACAATACGTATTTCTCCATTTTCTACTCTAAAAAATATATTTTAAGTATATTTTTTGTTATTTAATAATTAATTGTTAATAATATATTTTATCTATAAAATTTACAAGTTGGTCTATTGGTTTACTAGTCATTATTGTATTAAATTATTTTATCTCATTTTTAATTTCAATACTTTTTATTTATTTTTCAATTTATTTAAATATATATATATGATAAAATTTAAAACAAATAAATAGAATATATAGTTTAAATTATATGCATTATGTTTGATATTTTTTTTCTTCAAGTTATCTTGTATAAACATATTATACTTATATTTAATATGTAGATAAGTGAGTAACTATAAGAGATTTAAAAATAAATAGATTAATTTAAAATTATTTTAATTTTGTAAGAATTTTTTATAAATAACTCCAAAATAAAGTAAAAAAATGAGGTTACACTAAATCCATTTTAGAATTGAAAATAACATAGATTTGGAGAAAATTTTACTCTAAAATAATATTTAATATAGAAAATGGAATAGGGCTGGAGATATTTTATATCTCTAGATTACGAATGAGTGAATGGTCCTAAAAATATATAGTTTTTTCTAAATTTTTATATAATTTGAAGTAATGGTTTTTACAAATCTATTTTGAACTAAATTATATTCTAAAATCGATAGTCAGTTTCTATACATGGAATATGGTAAACATATCCAGATTCTACTTCTAATATATTTTTAAGGTTTATTATCTCGTTTATTTATATAATATTTTAGATTCTTTTTAATTTTCGTTGTATAATTTAAGCAATAAAATTAACAATATTATGGAAAACAGAAAACAGAAACATACAATAATACTAAATAAACAGAAACATTGGATTGATCCAAATTCTTATCCATGCATGTGACCTCCTATGGGAAATTGACCAAACATGTTACATCTTAGACTTTATCTTAAAGAAAAAAAAAAAAAACAGGAAAGAAATGGGTTCAAATAAATTATAACGAAGATAATGTCATTTTCCTATATATATTCTTATATATGTGCCGTTAAAAGATGTCATTTTCTTTCTTGGGTCGGTTCATTGTACTTTAGTTATATAAGCACACATTCGTCGATGTCAAAAAAAAAAAAAAAAGCACACATTCGTCGAAATGTATAGTATATATATATATATATATTCACCTAATATACTGTAAATATCCTATATTAGGCTTGAACGGTAGTTGTATATAATCATATATATATATATTTAGTAGTTGTATATAATCATATATATATATATAAATATATAGGTGGACGATGATTGAAGCTTTTATCCTCTTTTTAACGTGTGAGTGAGACGATGGATTGGATCGACAGATCTTCTATTTACATTTAATTTTAGGTTTTACAAGGTGTATAGTAAACCAATTATGTTCAGTATATAAATATTAAATGACGTTACCTGTTACATTTTTATATAAATATATATATATATATCTAAAACTTCTATATAGTGCCCTGACTAGATTTATAGAGGTTTACGGCAATTATAAAAAATGTAACAGACTCACAAATAACTGATTCACGCCCCATGCCATAACCGAGTACCTAGGATCAGTCCCGACTCTTGACAATAATTTCTATAAAGTCTTATTCTCTTTATATAGAGAGGATTCGATATTTTTCTCCCGACTCTTGACAAGAATTTCTATAAAGTCTAATAACCGACAAAGACTAAGTGCAGTCGTTACTGTTACACTCCATTTGTACAAATACATGTTATTTTAAAATAACCATGCTATTACAACACATTTCTAATCTTTTTTGTCTATGGTTGATGTTACTTTACAAAAATGCTTGAAACACATTTCTAATCTTAAAATAATGTTATACGACTCTTCAATGATAGCAGAATGCTTTCAACAATGCTCCATATTTCCGTTAAAAACATGAGTTTAGTAATGTTATAGGGTCGAGACTACAAGAATTTGGGATCTGTCACATGACCTACTAAAGTTTAGGCAAATTATTAAGATTTTTTATTTTATTTTAAAGCCTCCTGTTAAGTTTTCTTAAAATGTAATTTAGTTTCTGATTATATTGGGTGCGTTGTTGTATCATGTATGATATTTCCTAGAAAAATATATTTGTCAATCTTCAATATATAGTTAATGTTATTTATTTTTTTTGTAAAATTATTGTAGGTGGTATAACAACTTTTTGTATATTTGTTGGTCAACTTAGAAGAACATGGCCTTAAATTTTTTTTCTGAACGGCCTGTAATGCTATACATATAGTTCATTAAATACCATGCAATTTTTCAAATGACATTTTCTTCTCAACATATTTTTACAAATGACGTCGCCTCAACTGAAATCTTTTATCCATGTGAGATTTTTGCTCCTCACCTTTTTCAGTTTTGCTCTGTCAGATGACATCAAAAGCTTAATGACATCAAAAGCTTAATCTTCCCTCAACTTACTATGGGCATTTTCGTCATATACAAAAATTGAATCTTTTGAGTAAAAGAAAGACCATGACTTAAAGTCCAAGATTTAGTTATATACCTACTTGTCTGAAAAAAAAAAGTTATATACCTAAATCCTAATCAACCATTTACTCAACTCATGCAAAATAAGCAGACTACATTGGATTTTTTGTTCACACACTCTTAATTTTTTCCAAAGAAATTTCATTAATTAAACAAGAGTTTTAAAATAACTAGGCTTGCCGTCCGAGAGCAGCGACGACGACTCATGGAGGTGCAGTTGTCAAAAGAAAGAGGCTGGCGGATCTAGGTTTTTGTCTTGAAAAGCTTGAGTGAGAGAAACAAATGTTTTTCTATTCAGTCTCATCCTATCAATATATAAATGCTGTTATGACATTTCTTACATAAATTAGAAACTAATTAATTATACTATTAAGTCTTTTCAAAGCCATATGACTTTTGAATTTCTGTTTAAGTCACTAATTTTGTTTATAATTAAATAGGCATTAAAAAGGTTTGCAATGAAATTTTAGAACCAAAAAAAAAAAATTATAAAATGACACTTACCTTGTTATACTTTCAATAAGGAAGAACAGTATTTTACATCTATATAAAAAACTATTTCTCAGTTTCATTCTCTTAAATTTTCAAATTTCGCACCCAGTTTTCTTTATTAATTCATATAGTATTATCTATTATGTAAGTTGACATGAAATGTTTATATTTGGCATGGAATCAATCCATAAGGCCCATCCAATCAACGGATAACAGTCACTCACTCCTATAACTGTAGGACCTACATTCCTTCTATTTATACACACCTGTGTTTTCCACTTTACTTCATTCATAAAACTATTTATTCCCCCTTTGGTAGTAACCACTGAAAGGGCTTTACTTCACTCTCTCAAATGGCTTTTCATCTTATCCTTCTTCTTTGTCTAGCTCTACTAGTGTTGTGCCCTCGTGGTTATAGCCAGCGTTCTCCTTCGCCGGGATACTACCCGAGTTCTCGAGTACCGACTTCAACTTTTGATCGTGAATTTCAGCCTCTATGGGGCTCTCAACACCAGCGTAGAGAGCAAGACGTTATCACTCTATGGCTCGACAAATCAACAGGTCTATTTCTTTCTTTTTCATCTTTTTTCATTTGCAACCAAATATGTGGGCTCAGCTCAATTCTCTGGTCCAAATTTTTTTGGTCCATGTTATATACGTACAAAAAAATATCATATACTACTCAGTTGGGATACAACATAGAAAAATAATATCACTAAATCTTTGAATTAGTTTAGATATGTGACGATTTCTTGTTTCTTTGTCCGCATTTAAGTTTCTGATGTTATTTAATACACCGCATGTCTTGAGAAGACTGTGTCGGTAGCTTATATTTAATTAAAATATAATTCCCAGTTACTTATTTTCAGCATATCATTTATGTTATGATCTTGTATAGTAAGTAAATATAGCGACTAATTCAATGTGATTATGAACAGGGAGTGGATTCAAGTCTATTCATTCGTACAGGTCGGGTTACTTTGGTGCATCCATTAAGCTTCAACCAGGCTATACAGCTGGAGTCGATACATCCCTCTATGTAAGAAAATTTTTTAAAAGGGAATGAATTGATTAAAACCATCTAATATGTATGTAGCTAAATCGTTATTAAAATAAAATGTACTAACAATATTGGGATTTATAGCTCTCGAACAACCAAGAGCATCCTGGAGACCACGACGAGGTCGATATCGAGTTTCTAGGGACAACGCCAGGGAAACCTTATAGCCTTCAGACAAATGTATTTGTTAGAGGAAGTGGTGACCGAAATGTCATTGGGAGAGAAATGAAATTTAACTTGTGGTTCGACCCCACTCAAGATTTCCACCATTATGCTATTTTGTGGAACGCTAATCAAATTGTGTAAGTCAAACTCAGAATAGTTACATTAATTATATCCATTTTTTGGTAACTAATTATATCCATTTGTTACATTTGATATTCTAAATTGGTCAACTTTCAGATTCTACGTAGACGATGTGCCGATACGTACGTATGATAGAAAGAATGAAGCTATCTTCCCCACTAGACCGATGTGGGTGTATGGATCGATATGGGATGCATCGGACTGGGCCACAGAAAATGGGAGGATCAAAGCCGACTATCGATATCAACCATTTGTGGCTAAGTACAAAAACTTTAAGCTAGCAGGTTGCACCGCAGACGGATCTACATCATGCAGACCACCATCGGCCTCACCTATGAGGAACCGAGGGTTGAGCCGGCAACAAATGGGGGCGATGGCTTGGGCACAGAGGAACTTCTTGGTCTATAACTATTGCCATGACCCTAAAAGAGACCATACCCAAACACCAGAATGTTAAACACACAAACAAACAAAAGAAAAAGGTTTTTTTATAATTTTATTTTGTATTACCAAATTATACATTAAGTTAATAATGGGAGGACTTGAGACGGGTCCACACTCCACACTGGAAACTAGAGTGCAGCAGTTGAGCGTCCGGTCCTCCTAGATTTGAGATTAAAAAGAAAGTTATTCTTGTAATATTGTTTTGTTCTATTTGTGATTTTCTAATAACTGTGGCTATATATGGTATTGTATTGTTGTGTGAACTAAAGAAAAAAAAAGGAAGAAAGTGGTTCGACCGAAGGTGGCTTGAATTATTTGTTGGATTTTTATATTAACTAGTGAATCTCCAATCAATATAAATAATTGATTGCCGCATATATAAATAATTGAACTATTAAAATTTGGATGACGCATTTAGCATATATCAAAATTCGATATATTTAATTGGAAATACATAATTAAGTGATACTTGACTAGTAACTTTCATTTACTGAGGAGTTGTTTTGTTCTATAGAACGTAACAAGTGATCCAATTTTTTTGAAGTATGAAATTGTCTAACAACTTATATTTGACGAGTTGAAACTATCTCATGTTTTAAACCCATGAAAAAATTGGTGAGTGGACTACTCGAGGATACTGTTTATTAAAAATTAAGATCACCTTTGTTATAAAAAATAAAAATCATAATTACATATAATAATCAATTATAATATATTTATACAAAGCAATAAATATTGATAACTGCCGTCACACAAAAACAAAATCATAAAAATACATGATAATTCATATAAAGCTATAAATAACTGCCGTCACACAAAAAAAGGAAAAAAAAAATGATAAAGCCAAACAACGAGTGACGGACGACTGTACTTTCATCTGGATCATGGAATAAGCGGTTACAGCATCATTTATTCAACACAAACAAACAAAATTGACGTAGGAAATGTTTTTTTTTTTTTTTTTAATAAAAAGAACGGTAGGAAATATTAAATCATTTATCGTATTCATAGTGAAACAAAGTGCGGTTGTAGTGGTGTTTGAGTGTTTTTTTTTTTAAAAGACATTTTTAAAAGATTATATATATTCCAAAATTCGTATTCGATTTAATTAGCAAAACAAAAACTGAAGAGGCGTCACATTCAACAATTACTCAAAAACTGAGGAGGTGCATGAGCAACGGTGATGATGATGACCACTTTTCCCAATGTCGAAAGAGATAGTGAAAACTGAAAAAGTATGGACCCCAATTTAATTCTCGAAGATTTCATTACAAAATTGAAGAAATATAAAAATTTAACATTTTATTAATCATTGTTGTCTTATTTCAAAGTGTTATTTTCTTCTCTTGCCTTTTGCATGTGATTTTTGGTAGTCTACATCCTCTTTGATAAAGACCTTTCCGCAATTTGTTTCCATTATTAACAAAAGGCTCTGTGTTGGGGATTTTTTCTTCTTCTAGAAATCAATATCATTTGCTTCAATAGAATTAATAAGAGAGAGCCATTATTACTTAAAAAGACGTTATGTTTTGCTTAACGCAATGTTCTTGCTTTGATTTTCACTTTACATTTACTCATATTGCTAAATTCTTCGGTAGTCGGTACTATAAGGCTTTTGGAGTAAGAAATTACAAAACTATGAAAAGAACATTTCTTAGCAAATTAAAAGTACATTTTCTAAGTAATTTTCTAAGTAATTGCATTTTCTTAATGCGATTTAAATTTATAATCATTTTTCTGAAGAAAACTGAAACCCTATATGATAGTTGAGAAAACAAAATTTGATTAGCGGAATAAATGAAAAGAAATTAATTTTAGTTGCTTTCTTTATGTCAATGAATTTTATGATAAACTTTTTATGGTTTATATTTTGCTGACTAACAGAACAAATTTAACTAACAAAGAAAATGACATACAGAAATTTTATTTTAAAATCTTCTATTCGTCAAAAAAAAAATGACATACAGATAGTTGAAAGTTGAAATTAATATTTGATAATAAATATAAATATTTCTTTATAGTATCACAAAATTCTTTATCAAATTAAAATATAAATAGTTTGAAAAACAAAAATATTTGTTATTTGGTACACTACCACAAAAACTTCTTGAGATCCTTATAAGTAAAAATATATCATTGATTTTTCATCTCGTTGTTTTGTCATTGTCTTATATTCCCATTTTATATGATATTAGACATATTTTAGACATGATTTTAGTTGCAACAACTTTCATTCCGTTCCCCATCTTTTCTGTCCTATTTAATTGCCTTGTTCGTCTTTTAAGTTTCAAATAAAATAAATAAATAAATTATTCTAAATTTCCATCTCATGCAAAGTTGTTTTATGTATTTCCATTTATCCATCATACTATTAGATATTAAAGACTGTGTTATGTGGGTTTCTCGGAATTTTCCTAAAAGTGTATGATTGGGTTATCTTTTCCTAAACATGGGTTCTCCGTCTGGTTGTTTGTCCTAAATTGCAACCTAACTTCGTCGGGGCTAGATGTAGAACATACATGTCTTTTTTTGGAGATTGTGGTGAATCGAGAGACCATTTATTCCTTCAATGCATGGAAAAGAAAAAAAGGAGTAGATGTTGATTATGTTTGTTTTGATTCCATAGCCATTTGTTGGACTATTATTATAGCTCGACTTATGTAAGCTATTTACAACCTATCAAAAAGGGGTAGCAAAACTTTACTAATGTCTAGGTTAAGCCCATTTACTATATGCGTTATTTATTAGTTGTCTATTTTGTCTTAACTGATTGTTATTTCGTACCAAAACAATGATTTAGCACATAAAGTCAAATAGAAACTTTATTCGAAAGAGACCGCTGATAGGAATTGTAGGGAAAGTTATCCGTCTATGGGAAACTTATCCTCTATAATATTCTCTCATGTCTAAGATGGGAGTTAGATAACTAAAGATTTAAGAAACGACTTCTTTTATTATAAGGAAAGGGATTACAAAGAGATGATTTTTAGTGTGAACACTCTTATAGGTTTTCTCTCTTTCTCTTGATGAGATCATTTTACAAATGCTACTCTACCCTTGTATTTATAATAGAGATGACCGACATATTAGAGAATTCTAGAGTACTTTCTCATCATTATCTTAATCTAGATATTTTCTTCTCTTCTTCATAATTCTAGATTATTCTAATTTAGTCATAATTATCACATGCTTATTTCTTGTCTTTGGCTAAAGAGAGAAATATCCAGCTAAGGAGGGAAATATCCAACAAATCTCCCCCTTCCCGACTTAGCTTGAAGTTATCACGATGCCGGTGCCTTCACAACAATCTTCAAACTTCTTGATTGGTAACACCTTGGTCATAAAGTCTGACCAGTTTTCGTGTGTGTGTACCTTGTCGAGATGTAGGAGCTTCTTTTCAAGAACTTCTCGGATCCAATGATGTCGAGTATCGATGTGCTTTGAGCGGGAGTGAAAAGTTGAATTCTTTGCTAGGTGAATAGTGCTCTGGTTGTCACATAGCAAAATGTATTTGTCTTGCTTTACTCCTAACTCAAGCAAGAAGTTCTTCATCCATAACATTTCCTTGCAGGCTTCGGTTGCTGCGATGTACTCTGCTTCAGTAGTAGACAAGGCAACACACTTCTGTAGTTTTGATTGCCAGGAAACAGCTCCCCCTGCAAAGGTAATTACATACCCTGAAGTTGATTTCCTGGAGTCTTTATCACCGGCCCAGTCTGCATCAGTGTAACCCTTCAGCTCAAGTTTTCCATTACCAAAGCATATGCACCTTTTAGTCGTGCCTCGTAGATAGCGGAGAATCCATTTAACTGCTTTCCAATGCTCCTTTCCTGGATTGGCTAGAAAGCGGCTAACAACTCCTACTGCATGGGCTAAGTCTGGTCTTGTACATACCATAGCATACATTAGACTGCCAACAGCTGATGCATACGGGATACTCTTCATTTCCTCCTTTTCTTTCTCATTTGTTGGACTTTGCTCTGAGCTTAGCTTGAAATGTCCAGCAAGAGGAGTGCGTACTGGTTTTGCCTTGTGCATATTGAATCTCTCCAATACTTTCTCAATATATCCTTCTTGGGATAACCATAACACCTTCTTGGATCTATCATGAGTGATATTCATCCCAAGGATCTTTCTTGCTGGCCCCAAATCTTTCATAGCAAACCATTTGCCAAGATCTTCTTTCAGAGCAGCTATCTTGATGGGATCTTGTCCCACGATCAACATGTCATCAACATAGAGTAAAAGTATGAGAAAGTCCCCGCCAACGTACCTCTTTATGAAGACGCAATGGTCATTTGTGGTTTTCTTGAAGTTATGATCCGTCATGAAAGAATCAAACTTCTTGTACCATTGTCTTGGGGCTTGTTTGAGACCATAAAGGCTCTTCTTTAATTTGCATACCATATTTTCTTTTCCTGAGATCTTGAATCCTTCAGGTTGCTCCATGTATATCTCCTCTTCAAGGTCACCATGGAGGAATGCCGTCTTGACATCAAGTTGTTCAATTTCCAAGTCTAGAACAGCTGCTAGACCAAGAACAACTCTGATGGAGGACATTTTCACTACCGGAGAGAAAATCTCGTCAAATTCTATTCCTTTCTTCTGGTTGAATCCTTTCACAACCAACCGCGCTTTGTATCTAGGCTTCAAGCTGCGATCTTCATACTTTATCCGGTATACCCATTTATTCTTTAATGCTCTTCTTCCTTTTGGTAAAACTACCAGCTCATATGTGTTATTCTCATGCAAGGATTGAATTTCATCTTGCATGGCTTTTATCCACTCATCTTTATGAGTGTCAAGCATAGCCTCATCATAGTTTAGAGGCTCCCCCTCTTCCGTCAGGGTCACATATTCATCTAGAGAGTATCTTGTGGATGGTATCATGCCTCTAGCCGATCGTCTTGGCTCAGGCTCTGGAGGGATGTCATGCTCTTCTTCTGGATCTGGTTCTTCTTCTGCTTCATTTTCATCACCATCATGGTCTTCAGTGGTGGTATCTTCTTCAGGGTCACCATTATTCTCAGATCCATCTGCTGAACCTTCATCTGATTGGTCGAGGTGTGCATTTTTGCTAACTCTTAGCTTTGGTTTCTCCGATCTTTGGATGTCTTCGATTGTCTGGTCTTCGAAGAAGATAACATCTCTGCTTCTGACTATCTTTCTATTTAGCGGATCCCAAAGCCGATAGCCGAACTCATCTCTTGGTGAACCAAGATAAATGCACTCTTTGGTCTTGGAGTCTAACTTTGCTCGTTCATCTTTAGGAATATGAACGAATGCTCTACACCCAAACACTTTCAAGTGGTTGTAGGAGACCTTTCTTCCCGACCATACTTCCTCCGGAATTTCTCCATCCAATGGAACTGAAGGAGTGAGGTTGATGATATCAACTGCGTTAATTATGGCTTCTCCCCAGAATGACTTTGGTAGTTTTGCATGAGAGAGCATACATCGAACTTTTTCTCCAATTGTTCGGTTCATTCTTTCAGCAATACCATTCAGTTGTGGTGTCTTGGGCGGTGTCTTCTCCATCCTGATTCCATGAAATTTGCAGAATGCCTCGAAGGGACCTCTGTACTCATCACCGTTATCCGATCGAACACACTTGAGTTTTCGACCCGTACTCCGTTCTGCTTGGGCTACAAACTCCTTGAAAGCATTAAGAACTTGATCTTTTGTCTTCAACAGGTGCACCCATACTTTTCTTGAGTGGTCATCTATAAAGGTGACGAAGTATGATGCTCCACCAATGGATTTCTCGGACATGGAGCATACATCGGTGTGCACAAGATCAAGGATGTGCTTTCTTCTCATAGGTGGAGAGGTTCTTTGAAAGGCAACTCTATGTTGCTTTCCAGCTAAGCAATCCGAACATGGTTCAAGAGATGTACCTTTCATTTCAGGAAGAAGTCTCTTGCGAGAAAGTATGTTTAGACCTTTCTCACTCATATGGCCAAGTCTTCGGTGCCATATTTCCATGTCTTCACTAGCGACATTCACCTCTTCCTTGCTGATCTTAGTTTGTGTTACATATAGCGATCCTTCTTTCTTTCCTCGAGCCATAACCAAACTTTCTTTGGTTAGCTTCCACTTGCCTTTACCAAAGTGACTCTCCAAACCAGCATCATCCAATTTTCCGGTTGATATGAGGTTGAGTCTCATATCTGGGACATGTCTTACGTCCTTGAGAAGTATCTTACATCCTGTATTTGATGTAAGAATGATGTCCCCCTTTCCAACAATCTTGCTTCTTCCTTGATTCCCCATTTGAACATTACCAAAGTCACCACTTCGGTAAGTTGTGAAGAAGCTTCCATGAGGGGTGACGTGAAAGGAAGCACCGGAGTCGATAATCCATGAAGTATCGTTAGATGCAATGTTTAGGAGATTGCACTCTCCAACAACATATACATCTTTATCCTCCTCAGACACAATGGTGGTGGTTTTATCATCATGTCGTTTTGAGGGATTGAATCGGTCTGGCTTGATATTTCCCATTTGTTGATCTTTTTTGAAGAATCGACACTCTGGCTTCCGATGTCCTGCTTTGCCGCAATAGTAGCAGGTGACTCTAGGACGTGACTTGGATCGTCTTCTAGACTGGTCTTGACCTCGGCTTCTGTTGTGTCCACGCACTTCTTCTCTACCTCGTCTTTGTATGATGTTTGCCTCTGACAAAGAGCTCGAACTTCGTTCTCTCCTTCTAACTTCTTCATTTAGAAGGCTATCACTGACGGTATCCATGGTAAGCTTTCCTTCTGGTGCGGAATTGCTGAGAGTGACAACTAATGTGTCCCAACTTTCTGGAAGTGAACTGAGAAGTAGAAGGGCTTGCATCTCGTCTTCGACCTTCATGTCGACTTTATTTAGTTGATTTACAATTCCCTTGAAATTGTTCAAGTGCTCCATCATGCTTTGACCATCCTTATACTCCAGCTTCACTAACCGTCGGGCAAGGAGAGCCTTGTTTCGAGGTGTTTTCTTTTGAATCATGGATTCTAGCTTTGTCCATAATTCAAAAGCATTTGTGTAGGTAGAGACATGCTCGAAAAGGGATCGATCGATGTACTTACGAATTACAGCGACCGCCTTTCGATTCAAAACTTCCCATGTCTTGTCATCCTTTCCTTCTGGCTTATCCTTCATGATGATGGGCTCGTGCAAATCTTTACAGTAGAGGTGGTCTTCCATCATCGGTTTCCAATATGAGTAGTTATCTGTAGTGAGCTTGAACATGTCACCTTCAACGGTAACGGTCGCCTCCATCTTGTTGATACGTACGAGATACTGATGCTATTAGCGAACCTGGCTCTGATACCAGCTGTAGGGAAAGTTATCCGTCTATGGGAAACTTATCCTCTATAATATTCTCTCGTGTCTAAGATGGGAGTTAGATAACTAAAGATTTAAGAAACAACTTCTTTTATTATAAGGAAAGGGATTACAAAGAGATGATTTTTAGTGTGAACACTCTTATAGGTTTTCTCTCTTTCTCTTGATGAGATCATTTTACAAATGCTACTCTACCTTTGTATTTATAATAGAGATGACCGACATATTAGAGAATTCTAGAGTACTCTCTCATCATTATCTTAATCTAGATATTTTCTTCTCTTCTTCATAATTCTAGATTATTCTAATTTAGTCATAATTATCACATGCTTATTTCTTGTCTTTGGCTAAAGAGAGAAATGTCCAGCTAAGGAGGGAAATATCCAACAGGAATTTCACTGAGAACCGAGTAAATTTCTGTGTGGATATCAAAATTGAGATTAATAATGAATTCAAAGCATATTGTGAGGTAATTTTACTTCAAAAACTGTTGACTTGTAAAGTTTAGATTGATTGAACTTTTTGTCATCTTGATTTTTATCCAAATATAATAGGTATGAAGCTTTCTATTGGAACATACATATATATATATATATACATTATATCACAATCACAATCACAATCACATGGAAGCTAAATCTGATCTACATCAACAATCAACAGGGATAACATTGAACATGTTGATGATATTTGGTTAAACTCACCAGTTTTTGTTGCCCTTCTAAACCAGATTGACTAATTTGTTCCTTAACTAGTAAACTAATAAAGTGCAGACATGTCCCCTTTGTGGGAAGTGAGGTGAATCGAGAGACCGTTATTCTTCTAATGCTCTTTTTCAGCTGAATTTGGAAAAGTATGGTGCTTTACTTCCCCTTCCCCCTCCTACGTCTAGGCAATTTATTCTCCAATGGTTTTCTTCGGCTTCAAGGCACAAAGACACCTCTTTTAGCATTGTTCCAAGCTTGGCACGCAAGTATCTACAAAATCTCGAAATAAATCGTAGGCACTACTCTTCCACAAAGGATAATCCTCCAAAAGCAGAGCTCAGGCTATTTCTTCTTCTGGATCCTAATTGCATAATATGAAATGTTGGTCGGATTAATGTCTTTATAAAATCGTCCAGCATAAGTACAACTGTCTAGAGATTGATAAAACCTCAAAACAAGACCAGCACAACACAAATATTCCTCTACACTAAGATTCTAAGACCTTCTCATCTTAGTATTGAGGGAAATCTCCTTGTAAGATTGTATCCTCTCAATTGCTCTACGCAAAGTTTGCTTGACTGGTGATTGACGACGAAACTTACAATCTTGATGCCTTGTAAGAAGGGTACTTCTTCGTAAGTCTTCCTCTTCCTCTTCCTTATTTCGATTATGTGATGCCATTGTCGATTTATCTTGTTGACACATGTCATTAGGCATTGTAAGGTGAAGATCTTTGATCTCGAACAGATTCTCTGTCATTTCTGGCGTTGCTGCCGATCTCACTCTCGCTGATTTCCTTCTTAACTGCCTCCTGTAACTTAACGATCAAGAACCCATGGAGAGTAGCAAAACTTGAGTTTTTAAGGGTTAAAGTGAAAACCTTTTGGTTGCAGATTCCTCTTTTTCTGCTTCCATCTTGTGTGCAGGGGATTCTCCTAAGGCTGTAGAAGAAACCATCAAGACAAAAAGAAGATAATCCGAGATAAATGAACCTAACTAACAATAGTTATAGCAATTCTGAAGCAAGAAGATGATTAGATATATATACATTTGCTTCTGATGAATCGTCTTCTGTTTGGTACAGAAGGTTTCTCGGATTCTTCGTCCGCAATCTTTAGAACATTCTCAGGTGTTCTTACGGTTCTTGGTTGCGTGTTTTCGTCTTTCTAACAAGAAAAGTATGAAAAAACATCACAAACACATATCCAAGATTGGTTTATGCAAATTGAATGTAAATATGTAATTAGATCTCTAAGTTGTAGTTAATATATAAGTCGAGAAGAAAGATTTATAAATTACAAGTAAGATACCAAACCTTCTGTTCACAACATTTAGCCTTAAGCAAAGCATTTTTGCACGTAACCTCGTGTTGCAACGCTTTGACCTGAAACATATCTAATCTTAGACAAAGAAACGCCAAAACATGCGACGAGAGAGTAAGTTATTATAGTTTCACCTTGTTTCTAGCTAAATTAATCTCCTGCAAGAACAATAAATGGTTTTAGTAACGATCAGAGCTCTGAATCAAAGAGACAAGATCAAGAAAAGGAAAGTGACAATAAATCTTACAGCTACGAAATGAGAATTGGTTTGAGCAATACTCCAGTTTTGCACTTGCAATCTGTGTATACCTTCGCGTAGATTCCTCAGTTCGTATCTACTTACCTCTATTGTTTTACTATTATCAATTTAAAGAAAATAATCCTTTCTTGAATCATTGCATTAACAAGTTACTAAAATGAAGCTAAATGAAGGGAGGATACTCTCTCTCTTCAAGAAACTTAACCAATGCTACATTCTCCTGTTGAAATGTCCAATAAAACAAAATCGAATTCAGTCAATGAGATCAAAAGTAAGAGACTTTAGAGAAACCCAGAATGAGACTGAAACCTTCATCAGCCGGTTTACTTGTTCAGTTGGCTCCAAACCGGTTTCTTGAAGATTAAGCTCTTCTTGAGATTGAGAGTTAGTGATATCAGAGAGACTCTGCCTCATCTTACGACTAAATGAAGATCTTTTCATCATTCTCTACTATTTTTGTTACTCTTATCATAAAAAATTCACGAATTTGAGACTCAAGTTTCAAAATTGAAATAAACCCAAGAAGATATATTTTGTTTTTTAAAAAAGAGAATTTATTATAAACGAAGAAGCAGAATCTACTTTTTTCCTTGATCTAAATTAAAGGGGCAAAAGGTTTAAATTTGAGATATAAAGAGGAAAGTTGAGATGGATACGAAGAAGCGAGCCAAAAAAAGCGGTTAGGTCTTTGAAAAGTAGGTTCGGTGTGAAAACGGCTCTCCGAAGCGAAAAGGCGTTGAAAAGGAATTGATAAACGAACCTAAGTTTTAAATTTCCGAACCTCACATATTATTCGTTGGCTAGAGCCTTAAACTGCATGTCGTTTGTTAATAGCTCCTACCGTAGTAATTATTAAAACGGCAAGCTGTTAAGAAAGTTCTGAAACTATAGATGAATAGATGACTTAAAAGATATACAAAAGCAAATATTTATATATATTTTTTCTATGGAGATTGAAGAGACGATTTCAGAGAGTTTTTTTGCTCTTTCTCTGTTCTCTCTTCTAAATCATTGACAGAGAAATAATGCTTTTTCTCTCTTTCTTTTGATCAATGGATCGATGGTTTTTTCCATATATATCGGATGTTTTGTTCTGACGTAAATCGGATAATAAAGTTCTGGATTCGTCCGGATGTCAACCCTTTCTCTTTTACATCTGGTCCTCCATAGGTTTGAGGCGGTAGCGAGCAGATCCTGTGGTGAGTGTCAAGTTTTTTCTTCGAATTTTGGATCATCCTCTCTCTCGACTAGGAGTTTGATCTCTCCTTAAGTCCCCTCTATTAAGAGCCATGCGTCGCGTTGTGTGATATGTCCAAAGTCAAAGACGATCAGTGCTAATTTTAATCGGAGTTTCAAGCTTTTGACAATTTCTAATCTAGATCTAATCAGAGGAAGAATTAGCGGTGAAGAAGCAGCAATTAAAGGTGATGTGAATCCATTGGAGTTAACTTATATGGTTATACTCTCTTGATTATCGGTTTCCAGCAAAGCTCTGACCGGCGATGGATCAGCGGCATCTTCTCACCAGGAGCCGACGTCTTTCCCAAGCCTGCCGCGTGTCTTACATGTGTTTATTATTTATCAATCTTTATCTGTTAGTAATATGCTTAAATGAGGTTGATTTAGAATTTAATGTATACGGTTTTGGGCCTTTATTTGCTGTAATTTTCCCGCTTTTAGGTTTTCATAATGATATTAAATGGACGACCAAAAAAAATATATATTTTTTCTATATAATTAATATTCATATATGACTATTTTCAATGTTAAAGTCAAATTTCTATTATTTTTATGTGCTGTGAAAATATACATATATATATTTATTGTCGAATAGAAATGGTTGCTCGAATAAAAAAATTGTGGTAGTTTTAATATTTAGTAATAAAAAAATTAGAATAATATTAATTTTGCAATATCTATCTATATAGTTGTAGTAAACATTTTTTAGAAAAAAAACAGATCAAGAATCGATCCTGTTAGGTTCAATTAGAAAAATCATGGTTCAATTATTGGTTAATCAAGTCCAAATATCGGTTTAGTTTAATCTGACTTTTGTTTAGGCTGAGTATGTACAAGTTTGATTCAGTTAAATCGAAATCAGTAGTAAAGATGAAGTTTTGGACAAATTCAAAGAGTACAAACTCGAAGTTGAAAAACAACTGGAAAAGACTATCAAATTGGTCAGAAGTGAAGAGGTGGAGAATATGATGAACCGTTCAATGTATTTTTTTTAGTTAAACAACATTGTCCATCAAACTACAGTTCCCTATTCACATGAATCTAACGGAGTTGCAGAAAGAAAGAACCAAACTCTAAAGAAAATGATGAACGTGATGTTGCAGAAATCTAGGCTACCGCAGAATCTATGGGGGGGGGGGGGAAGCATTTCTCACCATTATATCCTCAACAAAATACCTCATAAGGTAACCGGCAAGACGTCCTTTGAGCTTTGGAAAGGTTATGTACCTTCGTACAAATACCTTAAAGTGTGGGGGTGCTTAGTAAAAGTTGCAGTGCCATCTCCAAATAAGGTCACAATTGAAACTAAAACTATGGACTATATCTTTATTGGATATGATCACAATAGTAGTGTTTATCGTTTTCTGTTACATAAGTCAGTATCAGACATCCACGTGAATACTATCATGGAATCAAAGAATGCATCATTCTTTGAACACATATTTCCATATAAAGATAAGCAAACTACTAAACGCACTCGTAAAGAAAGAGATGTGAGTACTTCTGTTAATGAAATGGAAGTAGAACAAGTGGAAGATGAACCTAGACGCAGTAAAAGAGCTCGTAAGGAAAACTTTAATGGTGAAGATTTCACAATGGTCTTTCTTGTTGAGAACAAACCAAGATCTTACATAGAAGGTATGTCTACACCAGAAGCTCCTTATTGAAAAGATGCCGGCAATAGTGAGATGGATTCTATAATGCAGAATCATACCTACGAGTTAACTGGCTTACCTTAAGGGTTTAGAGCACTAGGGTATAAATGGATCTTCAAGACTAAGCTAAAAGCTGATGGTTCAATAGATAAGTACAAGGCACGCCTTGTGTTCCAAGGATTCAGACAAAAAGAAGGTCTAGATTTCTTCGACACCTATTCTCCAGTTACGAGAATAACTTTGATCATAATAATAATTGGTGTAGCAGCCTTGCAAGGTTTGGAAATACTTTATGGATGTTAAAACTGCCTTTCTAAATGGAGATTTAAAAGAATAGATATACATGAAATAACCCAAAGGTTTCGAGGTTAAGGGTCAAGAACACAAAGTGTGTAGACTCTTGAAATCATTGTATGGACTAAAACAAGCTCCAAAACAATGGCATGAAACTGCATGTCATTTGTTAATAGCTCCTACCGTAGTAATTATTAAAACGGCAGGCTGTTAAGAAAGTTCTGAAACTAAAGATGGATAGATGACTTAAAAGATATTCAAAAGCAAATATTTATATATATATTTTTTCTATGGAGATTGAAGAGGCGATTTCAGAGAGTTTTTTGCTCTTTCTCTGTTCTCTCTTCTAAATCATTCACAGAGAAATGATGCTTTTTCTCTCTTTCTTTTGATCAATGGATCGATGGTTTTTTCCATATATATCGGATGTTTTGTTCCGACATAAATCGGATAATAAAAGTTCTGGGTTCGTCCGGATGTCAACCCTTTCTCTTTTACATCTGGTCCTCCATAGGTTTAAGGCGGTAGCGATCAGATCCGGTGGTGAGTGTCAAGTTTTTTCTTCGAATTTTGGATCATCCTCTCTCTCGACTAGGAGTTTGATCTCTCCTTAAGTCCCCTCTATTAAGAGCCATGCGTGGCATTGTGTGACATGTCCAGAGTCAAAGACGATCAGTGCTAATTTTAATCAGAGTTTCAAGCTTTTGACAATTTCTAATCTAGATCTAATCGGAGGAGGAATTAAGCGGTGAAGAAACAGCAATTAAAGGTGATGTGAATCCATTGGAGTTAACTTATATGGTTATACTCTCTTTATTATCAGTTTCCAGCAAAGCTCTGACCGGCGATGGATCAGCGGCATCTTCTCACCAGGAGCCGACGTCTTTCCCAAACCTGCCACGTGTCTTACATGTGTTTACTATTTATCAATCTTTATCTGTTAGTAATATGCTTAAATGAGGTTGATTTAGAATTTAATGTATACGGTTTTGGGCCTTTATTTGCTGTAATTTGCCCGCTTTTAGGCTTTCATAATGATATTAAATAGACGACAAATATATATATATATATATATATATATATTTTCTATATAATTAATATTCATATATGACTATTTTCAATGTTAAAATCAAATTTTTATTATTTTATGTGCTGTGAAAATATACATATATATATATATATTTATCGTCGAATAGAAATGGTTGCTCGAATAAAAAATTGTGGTGGTTTTAATATTTAGTAATCAAAAAATTAGAATAATATTAATTTTGCAATATCTATCTATATAGTTGTAGTAAACATTTTTAGAAAAAAACAGATCAAGAATCGATCCTGTTAGGTTCAATTAGAAAAATCATGGTTCAATTATTGGTTAATCAAGTCCAAATATCGGCTGAGTATGTACAAGTTTGATCATAGTTTAATCTGACTTTTGTTTAGGCTGAGTATGTACAAGTTTGATTCAGTTAAATCGAAACAGTACTAAAAAGATTCTTAAACCATCATGTAGTTTATAAAGATTAATTGTGATTCTGTGATTTATTATCAAACAGTATTATTATAGGCTTGAGTATTGAACAATGCTATATTTGTAAGATAATACAATTGATTTGACATTTGAAATTCCAAGCAACATATTGAAATTGAGATGGTGAGTGTTCTATATGACATGTAGCACAAGAGTTTAGCAGACACATAGATAAACAAGAGATATAAACTTAAAAGAAGTATATACATACTACAATAAGTATCACTATTTAATGAACTAACAATCTAATATAAAGCGTCGCCCTGATTGAAAAACTTTAAGTTTAAATATAATTTTTTGTCTACACTGAACAAAATGCGTTTGTAGTCCAACGGTTAGGATAATTGCCTTCCCGGGTTCGACTTCCTGCAGACGCATTTGTTTTTGTATTCTATAAGGAGCGGATATTTAATGTTTGGGCCGCGACACGCTCGACAAGGCCTTTTTTTTAATATAAAATCTGCAAGGCCTTTTTGAGAAGTGATGTGTATTCTTATGTACTTTTCTATTGTTTTTCTTTGCTCTCTTTGTTTCTTTTTGTACAATTCGTTTTATTTTAATCACTTTGTATTTTTTTTTTTAAAAGGGTTTTATACAAGAACAATGATGGTATTAGCCGAATCCTTTATGGCAATTAGAGAAAAAAATATACAATGTTTATTTGGATATAAAAAAAACTAACGTAAAAAATTATTTTTGTTAACTAAATGCATTATGGTTACTTATTA